TACTATGTTGAAGCCTTAAGCCGCGCCCCCCATTGTTTTCCATATATATGGTATAATTTGTATCATATTTATGTGTTGTGCCTAATTTATATCTATTTAAGGTGTCTAAGCTCTATCTACGACTACTAAATTCGGTCACTTTAAAATTTTCAATATAATAATTTCTAAGTCGAATAACTCGAAAAATATTCAACATAAAACATTTTAAATTGCAGATTCGAACTCAATGATGAATTCGGCATCGACTGCATACTATATATAAAATATAAATGTAGAATCGACGGGGAAAAAGTCAATCTCCATTAGGAACAAGCATTTAGACCTGATTTCATATTTTTCTCAATTGGATATCAACTTATTTAATGATAATTTAAATTAAATGTAAAACAGTCTAGAAATTGACTTTGAATTTATAAAAACAGTATAAATAACTAATTTTGTCTAAATAATAAATTGAACACTTCTGTTACAATGTATGAACCAAATGCTTGCACCCGTCCTGTTCACAGCATAGAGGTGTGACTGTATTAAATACAGTATAGCCTTTACAGTAAAACATTACATTAAAGTGACTAATGTTTACAATATTTTGTTTTCATGTCATATATCCTCAAAAGTGTAGCACTTTTTACATGTATTTGTGATTTGTTTGAAGAATTAATGAATTGATTGTTTTGTTACTATTATTAATACAGATATTAATTACTGATTAAATGAGTTGAGAAATGAAGTGAAATCTCAAGTGTTTGAAATTGTTATGAATTTTCAACGATTATTTCAAGACTTTAACTCGAGGTATGGTATGGTATATGAGGTGTTGCAACACACCATCCATGGATGTGTTGGATGTGTTGATGTGCTAACAGTAGTGTTTGTTTTGCAGCAAATTTGTTGTCTACTTATGTCTGCTGTTATTCTCAATGCTGTTTGCATTACGAGTGGACAACACGATTGTCATCTCGTATTGGCTGGTATTCACCCCATTATGGCTGTGGAAGTGTTTGGTGATCGTCGGAGCACTCATTGGAACCGTTGTGTGGATCCGTAACCCAGACTATCGCCAATCGGACAACTCTTACATTCACTTCAAATCAATGCTAATAAGTCTTTCGCTTCAGTTATTATTATTGATGTTTGAGTTATTAGTTTGTGATAAACTGGAATCGGGCCGACACTTCTGGATCTTGGCGTTCATTCCTCTGGTGTTCATCTCGTTGTTGTCGATAGCGGTGTGCATTTGGTCGCTCAAGAATGACCGCGCCTTCGAGATGGAGCTGTTCTGCTCCGTCAATATCTTGCAATTCATATTCATAGCTCTTCGTATGGATGCGTTCATCACGTGGTCGTGGGTCCTGGTGTTTGTGCCCATTTGGATCATCACATGTCTGGCCATTATAGGCGTTCTCTACGCTCTCATCTTTGCGGTCATACTTTTACGGACGCCTGAAGTCGGGGCCGAACAGCGCCGACAAAGCCTTCATTCGGCCATTTCTTACTCTCTTATCGTTTTACCACTTCTGGTGTTTTTAGTACTTTTATCAAACAAATTAGATTCTGTCCACACATCCAATCCCTCACAAATGGACTACTTTTCCACATGTATTCCCTTATACTTCACGTTTGCTATACTATTATGTCTTTCATTTGGCAATAAAGGCGGCAATTTATGTGAGTTTTGTATTGTATTTGTATTACATTTGAAATGAACTAATATTTGAATGCATTAAAGGGTGGTTTGGAATGAGGAAAGACTTTTGTTCATTCCTACTATCGATGTGTCCGTGTCTTCGTGTTTACGGAAATATATCCTATAATTTACACTTCAATAACAGCCTCTCATCGACCCCTCATCGCAACCACAGCTCAATCAACATCTCAAACATCACAACCCATTCAAAACATGTAATCACTCGACAACCAAAAAAGTTTATAATACCTCACGTGAGCATTGAATCACCCGATTGATGACCACATGGCCACCGGTCAGCAACTATACCATCACTACCACATCCATACATCCATACATACATTCATTCATCCGTACATACATTCATTCATACATACAAATGATATTATTTTGTAAAATATGTTAGAAGTGAATTAAACCAACAAATTTATAGTAATATTATCAATTATTAATAAAATCAAATCAATTCAAAACGAAATCATGCAAATTGAGTTTAATATTCATTTAATATTGGTTATGATTGGTATGATTGAGTGGTTTGGTTACACTGTATGAAACACTGTATGAATTTCATACTATGAAATACAGTACAGCCAAGCAATGTATGCAATGACTACATGACTACGCGATGGCATTAGAGTTGGTGTGCATTGAATTAGAGGTGGAGTTGCGCTCTAATGAGTGGTCACTGACTGTCAATACATTGAATTCATGACAACAACAAGACATACAAAACATGATTACATCTCAAGTACTGATCGTTTGATTTGTGATTTACTATTGATTTGCAAATGGATTCACATTTAATACATGAGAGAGAAGGAGACGACGAAAGAGTGCAGAGTCTGCACACCAACCGTACAAACCATACAAACCATACTAACACTGCATCTAATTGTCAAACAGACAAAGACAAACACATTGTCGAAGGTGTGGATCCACTGGACATGAATAGTGAAGACTTTGGGTGCAAATTGTGTACTGATTGCTCAGATGAGGACATGAACACCCAGTTCTTCGCTTCTGGACCTTTCTATGCGATGGACTCTTCAGTTGAGACAATAGGCTCTGAAGCAGAAACTCTGGTGGAAGTGATGGACCGAAGACAGCGTTCAGACCAATGCAGTGTCTTATACGCGGAAATGCCTCATCTCTTTGACAATAACGTGCAGTTGACTGATGACGACATCCCAGTCCACAATACATGCAATGCGGACACCATTTGTGACACTTATCACACCAATAGATCCACTCAATTGCGAACGTGTGTCGAACCTAACTATCAATTTGTTTGTTATAAGTATTGCTCGCCATTAAGTGTGGGCCGAGTCTCGCAATTGGATCACCACTTATACTATATATCAAACAATGAGCCAAACATTGAGAGTGAGGCCGAGATTAACGATAATCATGATAACAATTATAACCATAACCATAACAGTCATCTCTCATCACCACTAATGTTGACGTTTTGCAAACATAATGCCAGAGAAGACGACACCACCACTCATAGCACTCATACCAACGATTGTGATAATGATTTGAACGAATCGGTTGATTGTGTCCAAAGAGCGACTAACTATACGACTGTCATTAAACCGAAAGCACTTCGACCACAACTGGCAATGGATGGCCATTCAGTGATCCACACAAATGTATGGCCATTAATACCTTCAACGCTTCCAACGCTTTCATTTCATGGCTCGACTCATGTGTTGACAGATAAGGATGAGTCCGCTTTCACACAAATATCCCGCAGGAGATCCAACTCTGAGGCCACACATTATTATCAGTCACTTAACAATGAGAATGAGATTCCTTCGAGAAGTGATGCACACTATAACCGTCCTCTTCGACCACAAAGAAGTAAATCAGTTAATAAGACATACAATAATTGTGACCAAAGTTTGTTTGATTCGCACACAAATGATACCAAAAGATATTACTTATCCAATAAGTATAGAGAAAAGTGCAATGAATGCAATGAATGGGATGACGACAAACATTTGAATCAAACTTCGATGCAATCTTCGGAACCCATTCACATGACACTCGAAGAAGTGAGACATTTCTTTTCCAACAATCCAACTAAATGTTTGACAAAACATAAGCCAAACACCAATGATATTGACGACAGAAATAGTTTAAGTAAATCAAAGTCAAAGTCAAAGATCAAGTGTGCGATTGAGAGTCTTTTTAGAAGTAAACGCAAATCTGGTTCTCCTGTACTTTGCAATCAATACAATACTAATGAACCAGAATTTATGGACCAAAATTCAAGTAAAGGATTGCAAGAATGTGTTACCAACATGTGTTTAAATGACAGTACGAGCCCTTTCACTCATAGAGCCCTTCCGCCCCTTCCACCCCTACCCTCTATTGTCACTCCCCTCACAAATGCTGAGCAATTGCTCGCCATTGACATGGATGTGAAGGATGACGAACGCCAGAAGTTTCTGGACTACGCGGCCAGCATTGAACGAGTTAAAGATGTCAGTCCTTTTCCTTTCAAATATGAATATTACTGATATTTTAATGCATTGATATGTATGTATGTATAGTGCGGTTGGTATTGGGGACCAATCAGTGGTTCAATGGCCGAACAACTGTTGGAGTCCGAGCCGTGCGGTTCATTCATTGTGAGGGACAGTTCTGATGAGCACTATATCTTCAGTTTGACATTTAAATTGAATGGCTTAGTGCGTCACGTGCGCATTGAACACGACCAAGGTACAGTACACTGTACAGTACACTTTGGCAACATTGTGCGAATTCATTCATTCACTCTTCACTCCAATTGATAGGAAACTTCAGTTTTGGTTCCCTTCAGAAGTTCAAAAGCAATACAATCGTCGACTTCATCGAGAATGCTGTCCAACACTCGAGAAGCGGTCGGTTTCTGTTTTTCCTGCACAGGAGACCAGTGATGGGACCAATGCGTGTCCAACTCCTACATCCCGTCTCACGATTCAAACAAATACAATCACTTCAACACATGTGTCGGTCTGTATTAACTGATTAACTCTTGTTTCAATTGGAAATCAAATTAATTCAATAAACCATTTGTTAAAAAGGTTTGTGATCTTAAAGCACGTGCGCCGGGATCTGATTGAAGGACTGCCGTTGCCTAAAATGCTGAAAACTTATTTAAATACTCCCTATTATTATTCAGAAGAATTAGCGCTTATGAATGAAGGATCAAACTCTTCACATTTCAACCATCAAGGATCGCAACGAGAGCTGACAACATCTCCAAATACTAGTCAATCACTAACTTAAATGTTAACTCAAATATATATTCATTTAATGTAAATTTACAACAATTAAATTATTTACAAAATTAAATATGTTATCACTTATCAGTCACTATCACTCCATCGGTCAGAATAAAAGTGATTAAGTGGTTTGTCTTCGTTCAAGACGTCCATATTTGGAGTCCAAACACAAAGCCTTCCCTGTCCTCCACTGTACAGCACAAGTGATCCCATATCAAGACCGGTCACACAATTCGGTCCCAATGTATTGAATGTTCCTTCTCTTGATGTGCTTAGACTGTGAACTTTTACACCAGTATTCATACCATAACTGATTATATCGTTTCCCATTACCTTAGCCTCACTTGGAGTGAACACATAGTCTTCAGCAGCAAAGACTTGACATCTGAGGTAAGAACTGTTGAGATTGTGTTTTGTTTGTTTGGTTCGTACTGTCGGGCACTCAAAGTTAACGTCGGATCGGATCAGATCTGAGCGCAAGAAATGCCATGAATTGAGTTTATTAGAGCGTCCCTTAGCTGTTATAACAGACATNCCAATGATATTGACGACAGAAATAGTTTAAGTAAATCAAAGTCAAAGTCAAAGATCAAGTGTGCGATTGAGAGTCTTTTTAGAAGTAAACGCAAATCTGGTTCTCCTGTACTTTGCAATCAATACAACACTAATGAACCAGAATTTATGGACCAAAATTCAAGTAAAGGATTGCAAGAATGTGTTACCAACATGTGTTTAAATGACAGTGCGAGCCCATTCACTCACAGAGCCCTTCCGCCCCTTCCACCCCTACCCTCTATTGTCACTCCCCTTACAGATGCTGAGCAATTGCTCGCCATTGATAGGGATGTGAAGGATGTGAAGGATGACGAACGCCAGAAGTTTCTGGACTACGCGGCCAGCATTGAACGAGTTAAAGATGTCAGACCTTTTACCTTTAAAATATGAATAATATGACTGATATTGATATGCATTGATATGTATGTATGTATAGTGCGGTTGGTATTGGGGACCAATCAGTGGATCGATGGCCGAACAACTGTTGGAGTCCGAGCCGTGCGGTTCATTCATTGTGAGGGACAGTTCTGATGAGCACTATATCTTCAGTTTGACATTCAAATTGAATGGCTTAGTGCGTCACGTGCGCATTGAGCACGACCAAGGTACAGTACACTGTACAGTACACATTGGCAACATTATGCTCTACTAGGTTGTTCAGAAATAAATGTTCATTTTGGCCATAACTCAAAAAGTAATCAAGATAATTTAATTTTGTCTTCAGATCATAATAACACTCGCCCATGTCCACATCTCATATAAATTTTATTTGGATTGATTAACATTAAGGGTATTTATTTTCAAAAATACTGAGGAAAAAATTGTTCAAAAAATTTATTGGTATAGGAAAACTTTTTTTCTGTTTGATAAAAGTCATAAGTGTCTATATAATAATCATTGCTATACATCTCCTCTATAATCTCAATTAATTATATTATCTCAGCAAACTCTAAATTTTTTCTAATAAGGGGTAGAACCAAGGCACCCATTGGCCAAAATAAATTTGGCAATTTTTTCAATGAGCTTTTTTAGGAAAAACTTTTGTTCTGACAGACACTGCAATACACTGTAAGTTTAAAAAGATCATTAAAAAATGACAATGTTGAATTTTGTACATAAATGCATTGGTTTTAACTTTCATTAAAAAAATAATCCTGAATTTCAAAGGTAAAATTATATGTTTAAATTATAGAGGAGATGTGTAGCAATGATTATTATATAGACACTAATGACTTTTATCAAACAGAAAAAAAGTTTTCCTATACCAATAAATTTTTTGAACAATTTTTTCCTCAGTATTTTTGAAAATAAATACCCTTAATGTTAATCAATCCAAATAAAATTTATATGAGATGTGGACATGGGCGAGTGTTATTATAATCTGAAGACAAAATTAAATTATCTTGATTACTTTTTGAGTTATGGCGAAAATGAACATTTATTTCTGAACAACCTAGTAACATTGTTATGTCATTCATTCACTCTTCACTCCAATTGATAGGAAACTTCAGTTTTGGTTCCCTTCAGAAGTTCAAAAGCAATACAATCGTCGACTTCATCGAGAATGCTGTCCAACACTCGAGAAGCGGTCGGTTTCTGTTTTTCCTGCACAGGAGACCAGTGATGGGACCAATGCGTGTCCAACTCCTACATCCCGTCTCACGATTCAAACAAATACAATCACTTCAACACATGTGTCGGTCTGTATTAACTGATTAACTCTTGTTTCAATTGGAAATCAAATTAATTCAATAAACCATTTGTTAAAAAGGTTTGTGATCTTAAAGCACGTGCGCCGGGATCTGATTGAAGGACTGCCGTTGCCTAAAATGCTTAAGACTTATTTAAATACTCCCTATTATTATTCAGAAGAATTAGCGCTTATGAATGAAGGATCAAACTCTTCACATTTCAACCATCAAGGATCGCAACGAGAGCTAACAACATCTCCAAATACTAGTCAATCACTAACTTAAATGTTATCTCAAATATATATTCATTTAATGTAAATTAACAACAATTAAATTATTTAAAAAATTAAATATGTTATCACTCATCAGTCACTATCACTCCATCGGTCAGTATAAAAGTGATGAAGTGGTTTGTCTTCGTTCAAGACGTCCATATTTGGAGTCCAGACACAAAGCCTTCCCTGTCCTCCACTGTACAGCACAAGTGATCCCATATCAAGACCGGTCACACAATTCGGTCCCAATGTATTGAATGTTCCTTCTCTTGATGTGCTTAGACTGTGAACTTTGACACCAGTATTCATACCATAACTGATTATATCGTTTCCCATTATCTTAGTCTCACTTGGAGTGAACACATAGTCTTCAGCAGCAAAGACTTGACATCTGAGGTAAGAACTGTTGAGATTGTGTTTTGTTTGTTTGGTTCGTACTGTCGGGCACTCAAAGTTAACGTCGGATCGGATCAGATCTGAGCGCAAGAAAT